AATCTAAGCATTTCTTTGATGCATAATGACCTTCTAGACCTGGGATAACAAATGGTTTAATTTACATGCCAACTTCAGTCCACTGGGAATGGCTGCCTGGAGCACTGGGCTGAGAAAGACTGGATGCCATGTCAAGGCCAATAACAGAGACTACTGCCTATGCCACAGGCAAAGGATGGAGCGCTGGGGGCACAAATACCTCGCTGACTCTGAAAGAACAGAACACCTTCTCTCATAGGATAAAAACGTTTTCTTAATCATTTTAAATACTTCACAGATATCCCTTATAAAGGTCTATTCTTTAAAAAGCTATATTATTTTAACATAATCTATTTCTATTTTATATTCAAGTATTCATATTTAAATATTTAATATAAATTACATTACTGTAATGTGGTTTAAATACTTTACTAGTAAAGCAAATTGACAATGCTATAGATTATTTTTAACAAAATAAGGGAAAAAAGTTTAAATACATTTTGTTTCATCCATGTCATTCTCTGCAAAACAGAACTGACAGAATATATAGTAGTTAAAAAAAATAACCAACTCTGATCTTTTGAGTTCCTCCAAGAATCACAAATCTTTTTGTGATTGCTATTTTCTTTTTTGGTGCAAACAACTCAATATTATGCAAGTTTTCAATGATCTATGTCAAAACTAATATGAGCATGAACTTCCTACTGCCGTGCTTTAGTTGAACAGACACACATACTCTAACTATAAGGGTATTACCTTACTTACAGCATCCTCTCCTTAGGTATCTTTTGTAAAACTAGATAATTTGTACAGACCCAAATTCAAAAGATGCAAATACAGTGTGAAGAGAGAACCTAAATGTGGTACAAAGTACATTTTATTCAATCACATCCAGTATTATTAGCATTACCAGATGGAGAAAAAAAAAGTGAACTGAAATTTCACACTTCTGCCTTTCGCTTCCATGTGATTTCTTTATGCCTGTTATCAGTGACACACACTGGATCAGAGGTTAACTTTTTAATAATAACTAACTATATCTAAACTTCCCTGTATTCAGACACTGACTCTTAGAATTATAAAAAATACAGTGAAAACTGGCTTCACTAAATTCAGGACCCCAAATCTCAAATGAATACTCAACCTGACATCAACCCTTCTCTAATTCTGAGGCATGTCAACTCTCTCAATTGTCAAAATTACAAGTAATCACTTTCTCTTCTTTCCATAAACTTCTGCCAGCCTCTCTTTCCATTCCATGCCTTTGCCTCCTATTTTGTTTAAAAACAGTCCATTTAAACAGGAACTCCCCGTCTGCACCCGTCATGCTTACTGTCTACACCACATGACTCTGTACAGTGGATGAAGGTGAACCAGACACTCAAGATCCATTCCCCTTCCCCTCTAGCCTTCATAGACAGTTCTTTTGTAGTGGGAAAATACAAACCGTTCTTTGACCCTCTTTCTACTTCCATGGAACAATCTGCCAGTTGCTTACTAAATATTAATTTTTCCCTTCTCTCTCAATGAAGCAATCTCCATTAGTGAGCACATTGCTAGGAAGGTAGTAACTTCCCAGCAGTTAGGTGTAGCTATATGACTATATCTAAATTCTGGTCAATAATAGAAGCAAAGGTGAGCTGGATTCTGGGAAGTCTCTTTAAATCAAAGTGGTTGGTCCTTCTTCCACCTTTTCTCTATCTACACTTGCAACATGGATATGAGATGGCGCTTTTCAAACTCACCAGTCTGCCTGATCCAATTCTCTGCTTTTACTTTAGTCTCTCAGCAACATTAGACACAGATGATACCTCACACTAAGTCTTGAAACACTTTTTTTTATTTTTATTTTTTCTGGAAATCCACCATATCCTGATTTCCCTGTTATCTCACTGGTCACTTCTCTGATTCTTTATGCTGTTTTCTCCCTGCCTTCCTGATCTCTACATTTTTTAATGCTCCGGCTCTCTTCTCTTAACTAAACTCGTCTTTGTGATTATTTTAGACCTATGGTTTTAAATTCCATTTATACTCTGATAACATTCTGAACTCCTAATTCATATATCTAAAATAGATGTTTAAAAGACATCTCAAAATTTACTTGGCCAAAACAAACTCTCCCCATTTCTCCTCAACTGCAGTCCTTCCCATCTAAGAACAAACTCATCATCATTCGCTTGGTTGCTCAATGCAAAAACCATGGAGTCATCCTGGACTCCTTTCTCTCTCTCTCTCTCGATCCATCCACATTCATCAGCAAGTCCTGCTGGCTCTGCCTCCAGCGAACATTCATCATTTCTCTCTGTCCCCAATGCTACCATCCCTGGTGCAAGCCAGTATTTCTTTCATCAGACTCCTGTGATGGTCAAGGTGTCCTCCTTCTATTTCTCCAAAATCTATATTATAAGCAGCAGCCAAAGTCATCTTTTCAAAGTGCATACTTGATTATATCTCTTCCCTGCCTCCTAAAATGAAATCTAAACTCCCTATATGGTCTCCAAAGCTCTGGGTGACCTGCTCAGCCATGTCTGATTTCATTCCTGGCCACTCTTGCTTTAAGTGCTATTTCACACTGGATTTTTTTTTTTTTTTTGCCTATTTTCCTCATTTTTTGCTTTTTTCTAATTGATTAGTGGGAATCATTTGCACTGTGCATATTACTTTTTAGTCATATGCAAACATCTTTTCCCAGATTGTGGTTTCAGTACCTTCTCATTACCGGCCTCTTCTCATCCTCGCTCAGGAGACCATCTAAGCTAAGGCAGCTTTCTCCTAGTCTCCTGCTCTCACATCACTCTCATTTTATTTTCTTCATAGAAAATTACATTGTTCATGAATTTATTTTTTCTTTTTTACCATCTGTGTTCTCCTTATACTGTAAACTACAGGAGACCAGGGCCATGTGAATCTTATTTACTGCTGGATTCCCAAGGTCTGGAACAGTGAATAAAAAAAAGACTACCAAAATTAAAAGTCACTTAGTCTGAACCATTATTATAGTGTTTAAAACTTAATAACAGACCTGAAATATCTAACCACCACAAGCTGGTCACGTATAACAGGGATCACACATCTCCTAAGGTAGGCATTTCCATCCCTGAACAACCTGGCTTATTCAAGAGTCCTTATTCCTTCTCAAGCTGACATCCAACTACTGTAGATTCTGTTCATTTGTGGAGGTATTTATAATCATGCAGAATACGCTTCTTATGCTTTACACAAGACAGTGCTTCAAATATCTGAAGGTGGTGACTGTACCTTCTGATGGTTGAAAACTCATCTTAACACGTCTTTACAAGGCACAGTTGTGGGTATTATCGCCACTGTCCCACGCACTCCAAGACTGCCCTGAATTGCAGTATAGCCACATACTTAGCTATCAACTATGCCATGAATATGCAACTCTGGCCCAATTTATCACTTCTTATCTAGCTGAATCAATTAATCTCTCAGGGAGCATAACCTGATTTAAGTTAACCTTTACCTCCTTTCAGTTCAAGCTCACACGAAATCTCCAACCAGTGTATCTTTCATACCACTAAGTGCTTACTGCCTCTATAATCTCACTATACTACAGTTACCTCTTCTGCTTCCCAAAGTTCCTGATGGTGTGCAGCTTGAGGATACCTGCACTATTCTTTAGAGGAAGGCCTCCTAGCCTCCTTTCATACATAAAGGTCTTGATTTACCACACATGTAAAATAAAATTATAAGCTCTCTTAATTTTCACATGTAGCCTGAGGCAGGCCAGCACTATTTTTATCTAGTAGCAAGGAAGCCACAAAACAGAGAGGCCATTTTAGCTCTCATCAGAACAGATACGAAGTGGAAGAACAAAGTGGAGCCAATGCTGGTTACCCTGGGACAAAAACGAGCAACCCTGGATGTGCCATTTCTATCGTCCCTGCTGTGGACAACATGCCACCCCTACACTACTCACTTCCTTGCTCCTCTAAGAATAGCCAAAGAAAACAAGAATTAACCCAAATAAGGGTTATTTTACACAGCTGTGCACAGGGGCACTTTTTTAGAACCATCTGTAATCTTACTCTCTTTGTCCCAACACACTGAAATCTCATTTAAATATGCACGTAGGGTAACAACTGTTGGGAAGTTAATAATTAGATAAAGAAACACAGCTTGGTCATCTGAAAACATTCCTTATTTCCACAGTATATTAGCATTCTGGTAAAGAGAGGAGCCTTAACAAAGTAGGCTGAAGAATAAAATTATACTAACAGTCCGAAAGAGTTCAGGTAATGCCCAGAGGGCCAAAATACTGACCACAAGTTGACTAGAATCATCCAGGTATGTGATTAGCTGTAACTTGGGAACAAAAAACAAAACAAAACAAAATCTATCAGCTTAATTCTGCTAGTGACTTTTTTTTTAATCCTTGTATATATTCTGAGTAATAATTTCTAATAAAATACCATACTGGATCAGTCTACTAGTATTCTGTCTTTGACATATATAGCAAAGGATGATTTCAGGAGAATCCAGACAGTTATCTTGTACTGTATGTCAGCCTCAATAGATAAAAATATCCCTCCCTTAGTTCTTCCCTGCTCCTTAATAACGTAGCACGTATTTACTCCTTATAAAATTAACCTAAACCATATCCAGTCAGATTTTTTTAATAAACATACTTTTATCAAGATTCCTTAAAATCTCGATAATGCTCCCCATTCCAGATATATGAGATTTAGTCATCTCATTAACCTCATCTAGAACCGGACAGTTTTAAAGCAAACATAAGTATTTACCATTTTAAATCTTTATTTCATTAATGAAATTGCGTGTTGTTATGTGCCTGACGCCCTAAAGAAAAATGCAGTTAAGTGTTATCTCTTCTAATATAATTATTTCTTATATTCATTCTAAAGAGTTCTACTCTTTTAAAATCTGATCATAGAGAAATTCTCTTCCCCTTCTCAATCACTAGTAGTTGTCCTTTTATAAACCTCCATCAAGTCAGTTAAGAATTGAAAACAGTGAAGTCAATTTAAAACTCAACTCACAACACTGTGTAATCTTCTGGATGTTGGAAGAGATACGCTGGGCCAGCTGGGTGGGGTCGCCAACAATTCCTGGAGTGTAAGACATGGCTGAGTTGCTTATTCACTAATTTCATCAGATGTTGGTGGACTGTGCAGATTTCTAAGCAGTCATCTAAATAACATAAAAGAAAAGTCACACAATTGTATTTTTGAAGCTAATGGCTTGTATTTTCCACACTGTCAGTTTGGGAGGTTACAAGTCCAAACCTGATTAACCAAACGGGGGGCTGAAATCTATCGAAGGGGCACAACAAATAGTAAAAATGCTTATGTCAAAACCAACCAACCAACCAACCAACCAACCAACTTGACGTTTAAAGGACAGAGTTGAGTTAAACATGTTAAATAAAATAAGGTTCGAATTGCACATTCCCTTTGAACTTCTCTGATGTCTCTAAGGAAGAGTTATTAAATTCTTTTTCTGTGTATAATTTTAATTGTTTATATGTTTTCTCTTTAACTAAACCGTGAGCAACTATAAGGCAGGGCCCACATTCCATTTATCTTTCTCCAACATTTAAAACGATTCCTGGGATGGAAATGGTATTTAAATATTTATTAAAAGGAACACAGACTTCAGGCTATGCCTTGAAATTTCATTATTATATCTAATTTAACACACATAGGAACAGTTCAGGAACATAACGATTAATGGATCCCTTAATTTTAATGAGAAAAAAAGTCAAATTTGAAAAAAAGAATGCCCTGTAAAATGCTCATCACATATATACCTTCCTGACAGAGCAAGGAGAACAACACTCCTCTTCCAGAAGCCAGCATCTTAGGACAGGAAGCTAGGCCGGGATGCTGCTGGAGGAAGGAGGTAAGATGAGGTTCTTTTCTTCTCCAACCCACCCATACCGCTGAGTTTGAAAAGAAAGGATGAAAAGGGATGTCCTATGCATAGGACTGTGCACAACAAAGAATTTCAACTACTCCTACACTGTCTTTTCACTGAGTATGCAACGAATACCGCAAAACTGTAGGCAGTCGACTTGTAAGCCAGCTCTCTCTGCTACGAGTCTGCCACAGGCCCACCATTAAAAGAAGCACTTGGAAGCTGTAAGCAAATAAACAAAACAACTAAGATGTGTGACTTAGAAGTAAACCTGTCTAACAATCAAACAGCCAGGGTGCATAGACCTAGCACATGTGGACAGGGCAACCACAGTGTGCCATTTACCAAAGGAAGGGGAGGTTCCTGGCCAACTCCTGGGTCAGATGATTCATGGCTGGGACAAGTGAGAGACAACACAGAAAGAGAGAAGAATAACTTAACATTCGTTGCATATCTGTGAAATGAAAAGCATTTCACACAGATTGTCTAATATTCGAAGCCTCCCCTTTAAAATAGGTAGTAGCAAATAAACCTTGTTTTAATGATGAGCGAATTCTGTGGCTTATAAAGATTAAGTAACTGGAAATGTAACCCAGCGCACCCACCAGGCAGGGGTAAGATCTAATCCCAGAGTTTTGGTTTCAAAGCTACCTAAGCTTGGCTACCACACAAAACTAATGTCACAGAAGAGGGTGGACTCTGGGTGCTAGGTTTAGTTTGAATATAGTGCGATAAGAAACCACTGGAGATTTCTGGTAGGCAAGAAGAGGCCCCAAGGAAATATGCGTCTTTGTTTTAAGGATCAGTGCTGGCAGAAAAGACAACGGCTGAACTGTTACAATGGGTAGAAAAGTTCTAGTGCTGTGCCTGAAACTGGCACATCGTGGAATGCACCTGGCCGCCGTGGAGTCCCTGGGAGCTTTTAGATGCTCTCCATTCTCCTTCATCGAGCTGCAGGTCTAATTTATCTATTTTGGGCCCTCTGGACCTCACCAAGTCCTAGAGACGGACTCCAATTTTATAAAAGGGTAAATTCAAACTTGAACTCAGACAGAGTGGCAGGTATACATTACCTTCCAGGTAGCGGTTGGACTTGGGCCTGCAGCCACAAAAGCACTGGGGCCCTAACAGAACAAGAACGGACCTGGGGATTCAATGAGACCAACACTATCCCAAGCATCCTACAAAAACATCAACTGGATCTCTAAATTCTGTATCTTTTTTTTTTTTTTTCCAATAAGGGCTTTAGTGAAATATAATTCACATATACAATTCACCAATTTAAAGTTTACAATTCTATGGTGTTTTAAAATATTCACAAAGTTGTGCAACCATCACCACATCACATTTAGAACACTTCATTACACTACAAAAAAGCTCATACCCATTAGAAGTCACTCCCCCTTGCTCTCCAACCTCCCCATCTATAGGCAACCACTAATCAATCTACTTTGTCTTCAAAGATTTGCCTATTCTGTACATTTCATATGAATGGAATCATACATGTTCTTTTGTGACTGGCTTCTTTCTCTTGGCATGTTTTCAAGGTCCATCTATATTGCGGCATGAATCAACACTTCATTCTTTTTATTGCCAAATAATATGCTACTGCATGGACAGAGGCAATTTTTTCCTGACTCAATGACATCTTTCTTTTTCCTTTCCCCCTATCAAGTATCTAAAAAAACTGGCTCACAGCCAACACACACACATTGAATGAGGAAATGTTCCTTTTTTCTTATTTATGTACTTTCTCAAGGGGCATACACAAATACACCTATACATAAAGCAAAAAGTTTTACTTTCTTAAGAGCGCCAGCATAAAGCAGTGGACTTCCCTCTACTTTGTGCCCCCAAATGTAAAAACATACTTGTCAAAATAAGCATTTCACATAAAAAGCAATGGTTTTTTTTTTTTTTTTAAATATCTGAATATAAAGAAAGTAATAACCTAAAAACAAGAAAGACAGGGCATCTTGAAATATTTTATATATTTTTACAGGTCTTTATATAAATCAAATAATGAGAGGCAAGCAGTCTTATTATGTAGACTGCTCTATTCTCAGTACATGGCTACATGAAAGGTGCTCAAATGGAATGAATAAATGTACCTATTTCCTAAGAACAACCAACCAGTTTGAGCGTAATATCACCATTTCTAAGATACCGAATTTTACTGCATTCTTTCATATCCTGAATGTTCCAGGCTTACTGCTGCCTTGAGGCCTGTGCTTGATGCAATTTCCTATCCCTAGACCCCTCTTCCCATGATCTCCATGTGACTAGCTCCTTTTTTCCCAGCAAGGGTCTCATCACATACTAGAGAAGCCTTCAGTGGCCACTCCTATCTGAAGTGAGATGTTGCCACCCCTGTCTCAATCTGTTAACCTAACTTACTGCATCATGTGCTAATCGCCATTTAAAATGATCTAGCTAGTATATTGTTCATTATCTATCCCTGCCTCTGGAATATAAATATGAGGGAGACAACCTTGTCATCCGTGGAATTCACAGTGTCGGGTGCATAGATGATCCATGAATGTGAGGGTGATTACAGACCTGAGCATTCTCTATACCAACTAGATTAACCATATTCATTAGCTTAGCTCTTCCATCTGTTAAATAATTATATTTTTGGTTTTAGTTCACAATACCAAAGATTATTTTTCACCCTTTCATATACTAAACTTCCAAATTAAATGGAATTACAACAAACTTTACTCAGACTTACTGCAAGTGTTTTATTTACTTTTTAATCACCGGCACTTGGCTAAAGTTTGGGATTCTAACCAAAATTAGGTCAGACTTTGTTATCCAGAGAAACAGAAGTAAAATATCTGAAGAAAAATGATGTAGATGTTAATGAGTTAATAATGGTATCATATTAACTTCTACAGAAACTTTGAAACTTGAGCATAATTCTTAACTAGTCACAAGTTTGAGAGAAACTTCTCAAAGTGGCCTATAAAGCAGAGGCCTGTTCACATCATAAGACACAGTTTATCACCACTTTCAGTTTATGCTTGGGTGAGGCTCAGGCCAGCCCCATTTCCAACATTACTAAACAGAACAGCATTTCATAATCATTTCCTTTTCTTTCAGATTCTGTGCAAGTTTTAAATTATATATAGTTATAGTCAGGATACACGAGTTTTAAATTATATATAGTTTTAGTCAGAATACATCAATTGGAATGAAAAAGAAATCAATGTATGTATAGAAGAGCCAAGCAAATACTAGAAACTTGAGAAAGATAGAGCATTTGACCAGAACGGCAATGTTATTTTTTCTTTGTTTTAATTTAAAGAAAGTAAGAACCTAAAAAGAGGAGAGAGGCATCTTGAAATATTTTATGTATTTTTAAAGTTCTTTCTATAAACCCATCAATGACATGTACTAAGAAGATCAAGGAAAGTTAGCGTTATCAAGCCAAATAGAAAATCAACTACGAGGAGCCCCTAAATAAACGTATATGGTTCCTTTTCTACAATAGCCATATATTTTCAGTTCCTCTATATCCGGGAAGATAACTTTAAAATGTGTTTTCTAAATCTGTGAGTTAAAAAGAGGAAGAGGTCGACTCGTGTCCTGCTCAGGGCAGAAGCTGGATTCCTGAGCTGGCCGGAGCAGGCTCCAGGGCCGGTCCCGCCAGGGTGCGCGCAGCCCGCAGGTGCGCCTGGGCGAGCACTGCCCGGGGCTCCCGGGGGTGGTAGCCAAGGGAGGCGGCGGGACTGCAGGCGTCTAGCTGGCCGGGTTGGCCGGACTGGCCCGGCTGCCTGGCCTGCTGCCCGGCCCCGCCGCCTGACCGCGCCGCGAACCCGCTCCAGGCCAGGGGGCGTGGGGAGCAGCGGGCGCTCTGGGAGCTGGGGAGGGTCCCCACTCCGCCCCACGAGCGCCTGCCGCACAACGCAGGGCGGCGGCCACTTGACAACGTGTACAAACAAGGAGGCGCCGCAGCCGCCGGGACAACGGGACTCTGGGGCTTCGGCCAGGCACCCTCCCTCCCCAAGGTCCTCTTACCCGGACCTCCTCGGCTTCCTCCTCCTGCTCCAGCTGTGTGAACCCAACGGCTCCAAAACCCCCAGCTACAATTCTCAGCGGATGGGTGGTGGCGTTGGGATGCCCACTGCGCATGCCCGCAGCACAGCCCAGGAAGAAGGCGGGGCTCGCTTCCCTCCCATTGGCCGGGGGACTGAGTGACAGCGGCCCTCTCCCGCCCCTTCGTTCATAAACTAGGGAATGGGGGCTATCACCAAAATTGCAAGGGAGGTATTCTTTGAGGACTGACATATAGATGGTGAACGCCTTAGCTTGCTTGCAAAAAGAGTGGAGGGAATGGAAGGCAGCTGTCTTCTTTATAATGCCGGCCTCCTGCCTGTCTTATTTCCTAACCCTCATACTGCAGTACACCGTATTCACAGCTCCAGTAAAAAATACGAACGCAAATACACGGTCCTCACAGGAATAATGAAGAAATAAGTGAAGAGTCCTTTATTTAGTAGACAAATTTTCATAGCACATAAAAATCATGCTAAGCATCCTTGAAGGGCAGGGCATATTTTTCACAAAGTTTAAAAAGAGTAAAGAATGTTCTAATGATAAATATTCAAACATAATGTAATTGTTAGATAAAAATCATCTGTTTCTTCAGGTGAAAGAAATACCTCACCAAATTAATTAGAGGAAAGATTGGCTTGGCCTTTCCTTATGTTAAGGCAACACTATTTTCTGAAAGGATCATCAGAACATCAAAAGTCCAGACGCACTTAGGTGGTGGGAAAAATATTTTTTGAATTGGTACCACCTGAGCAAATTTTAGATTGTTTGCTATTATGCATACATATGCATAAGTACATGAATAAAGTCAGCCAGAGCTAAAAAATACAAGGATCTCTCAGTTTATCTTTCATTTTTCTACTTTTAACAGAGAAATAAGAGCAAGGAATATTTTCTATTTTTCTTTTTTTTTTGAAGAAAACTACAGTGAAAGAGTGATAATAAGCAGCAATCTTACACTCTGCCTCTGTAAAGAGAGAGCAATAGAGAGAGATATGCCAGCCAAACAGAAGGCACACATCCCATCTAAAGGGACAGCATTATTCAGCTAGAGACGATTGTACACTTTTAAGAGTATTGGCCTAATATAATCAAATTATCTGCTTTGTCAGGATATAATGGAAATTCAGATTTTTAATTTTTAATTTTTTTAATATTCTTAAATTTTTATAAAACATTCTGTGATCAGACAAAATTTGTTTCAACCTCTGAAATAGGTGATAGTGTCAAACATGGAGTATTAAAGCTGTGGAGGCCCTAATAGAAAATCAGACTCTATTTTCTTATTTCACAGAATAAAGAGACTTAAACCCAAAGAAACTGTATCAAAATCCCCCAAATCATTATGAGCAGCACAGGTCCAGATGAATACTTCCTACCATATTATTCATTCAGCAAATATTCATTGAAAACCTGCCATATGGCTGGTACTGTGCCAGGCACTTCAGATTCAAGATGAATACAGTATGGTATTTTCCCTCAAGGAGCTCTAGGAGTGAGATCTTTCCCAGGATACTGTAAGAGGTGCTATGATAAAGATTTGTACACAGCACAGATTGGTTGGAGCCCAGACATGAAGATGAGTTACTGTGTGGTGTCAGGGACTGATCCCAAGGGGTAGGTGTTAACAGAATCTTGAAAAATGTGTAAGAATTCACCAGAAAGACAAAATGCAAAAGGACATATTGGACAAATGGAAGAGCACATAAAATTTTATAAAATTATGGGCAAGTGCAATTTCAGGCATCACTATATAATTTTATTTAGATAAAGCATAGTGTGGGTGGATTAGAAGGACATGAGACAAGAAAGGCAAATGGAATTTATGTGTAATGGAAAGCCTATATATCATGTTAAGTGAGTATTGAGTAGAAGTTAAACTATTAAGGGATTCTATCTAGGTAAGGCTGTCATGTGCTCATAATTCCATGTAATGAAGGAACACTGGAAGAAATTAAAGAGAAAAAAACATTGAGACTGGAGCAGGGAAGAGAGAGAGAGAGAGGGGGGGGTTGATTGCAACCATTTAGGAGGCTGTTGTAATAAGAATTTCTCCAATATCAGAGATATTGAAGGACTGAACTAAGGCAAATACATTGGAGAAGAAGAGGTGAGGACTGCTTTGAAAAATATTTAAGAAGACTTGGAAATCAATTAGATGTGGAGACCACTCCTACTCTTAGGACATGTGAAACTGAGCTGACACGATGTAGCTGAGAGCTGAGATTGCTATTAAAGCAATTGCAGTTTGAGATTGGAGGTGGTGAAATGGGGAAGCAAAATGGCAATAAGTTTAGCGTTGAACGTATTATATTAAATATTCTAGGGAAGTGATATCCAGTTTGAGATGTTCAGTGTTGTACAGATACTTGAATATGTGAGCTGGAGGTCAGGATAGAGCTCTGGTTGGAGCTATGGGAAGAGATGAGCTCACAAACTCTGAGGATGGGATGTTATGAACTTCCTGTGTTTAAGGAGGGCAGAGAAAGAAAAATGCTGAAAAGGAGTAATCAGAGATATAGGAAGTAAACCAGGAAAATGTGAACTAGAGAATGAAGGAAAACATTTCCAACAGAGGAAATAGTCTAAGATATTACATGCCACAGAAAGTTCAAGTAAATTAAGACCCAAAAATTGTTCACTGGACTTGGGAAGTAGTTGGTGAATTTAGAGAGGGGCATTGCAATCATTCAAGGAGCTGTCATGCAAAGAACTTACATCTACATAAGGTCTGGTGCACTCTCCAAACAATCTTTCTACATTACCTTTGATAGAACCCTGGAGGGGTAAGCATGATGCTCTGCAGAATAAGAACCTGAGGCTACGTAGCCTCTTCAGGTTATCCTGCTAGTTTCCGAGTAGGCCAGAACCAAAGCTCAGCTCTCTGAATCCTCCTCCTGGACTCTTTGCAATTTCTCATGTTTTAAAATATGTTATGAAACGATTACTTCCAGGTCTTCTGAAAACTAAGAATAAGATTTCGCCCTTGTATTCAAGTGGAAAATGTATGTATAGTTTAGATAACCCTGCAAAATTTAGAGGCACAGGATAAATGAATTCCAAAAGAGTTCCTGACATTTATATCACTCCATCTAAGCATCCGCCTGTTACTAAGTGAAATTCAGCTGAATGTGTTAGGAGGACTCAAAAATTCTGCTGCTTTAACAAGTGATCATTTCATGTCTTCCTCCCAAAATTCTTTACTCTTAGGGCAGTTACCTGTGTCCAAAGGCTTGTAATTTAGACTTTTCAAAGCTAATCATTTGGGGGATTTGAGTTTTCTTGGGAAGATTTCAAAGGGCAATCAGAAGTACTCGAGTGGGAATTATATATACATTTGTTATGTCCTTATTAAATAAATACCAGCAAAATAACCTCTTCCGTGTAGGATGGGGAACTCTCCACTGCTGTATCTCCAGTTTGGAGTAGCAATTTTAGTGAATGGAAGGAGATAATTCCCTATTCATTTAATAGTCCCTGAACTAAAAGTATTTTTTAAATGACCACCATGTGATCTTATGGGAGAACCAGAGAAGTAAAAGACAAAAAAAATATAGCAAGATGAATTTTTTGATAAATGAATGGTACAGGTTGACCTGTGAAAGTTTGCTTTTTTATTTAAAATACAATGAGAAAACCACAGCTACTTTAATAAATCTGTGCTAGATTAAAAGGCAGCTTAAATTAATACCTCACAAATAAGAGTTGTTTCATTGCGCCTATTTTTAAGCATCTTCCAGCTCCCTCTGCAGTCTGCTTGTTTTCTTTCTAAAACTACTGGCCTGGTGACAATGCCAAGCACAGAACAGATGTTGCTCTGATTTTTAAACACAGAGGTAAGAAATAGGTATCCCACAGAAATCTTACATGGACACTTACAGCATGGTGATTGGTATGTTCATTTCTAATTTTACCTACTAAATATTGTTGACATGTGCCCACTTCTCTCTATCCCTCACTGTGTCCCGATCTACTGCAACAGCCATTCATTGGCGTCTCTACCTCCAGTCCTACTCAACTTTATTATCCTCAAAGCCGCCACTGAATATTTGAAGCACTTATCTGAAAACATTGCTCCAGGCTTCACGCCATCCCCATGGTTGCAGCATGCAACTCAAATATACTCCTTAAAAATAAAAGTGCTTGGGCTGGGCGGGAGTGCTGAGTTGTGTAGGCTGGGGGAAGGAATCAGAGAAGGGTGACTATGGAGAAAGGTCTGGGGAAACCACAGTATGAAACATTCTTAATGATTTGTAGTACACATTTGTAAACTGCAGGCTCTGAGAAGTGGTTCAGTAAAGAAACAAGTATAACTTTCTTTAACCCAATATTTTCTGAATCCATTCGACTGTAGAATGTTCTTATACTTAATGGCTGTAAAAACCTTCAAAATATGGGAAATATTACTTTCAAAATCAAGTACAGGCCCCTTATCATGGCATATAAATAAGGTGATCATATGTCCGGTTCACCTAGGACAGTCCCAGCTTATGCATATTTTCCCAGGCTTTGGTCTGCTGAGCATCTACTTCCAAAAGTGTCCCAGTTCAGAAAGTATATTATATATAAGAACATATGTGATCTGGATCCTGTCTTTCCCTGCATTAAAATTTATGCTTTGAAATATGCTAACTTAAAGAACTTCTCCATCTCTTTCTGCTCCCACATCCCCTGCTCTAGCTCTGCAACCACACACGAGGGGTTTTCTTATTTCTGTGATTTGCTCATGCAGTTCTCTTTAGAGTAAACTCTTTATTTCGGAATAATTGTAGACTTACAGAAGAATTGCAAAGATGATACAGAGTTCACCCACATTCTCCTAAATGTCAGCACCTTACATAATCATGGTGCATTTGTCAAAAATAAAAAATTAACATTGGTTTAGTAGTATCAACTAAACTATGATTTGATTTGAATTTCACTAGTTCTCCACTAATGTTCATTTTCTATTCCAGGATCCAATCTAGGATATCATGTTGTATTTATACAGTATGTTTTCTTGATCTTTAATCTGTGACAGTTTTCTCTCTCTCTCTCTCTTTTTTTTTTGTCATGACCTTGACATTTTTTAAGAGTACTGGTCAGGC